GCATTTTGTTAAAAGTTTGAAGTTTGCTGGTTTTCAAAACGATGCAATGACAAAATATGGGTTTCGCGTTTGTTTGATAGCGACAATTAATTTTGGCGTTTGATTGATGTCTTGCTCGGTCAAGAAACCATTTTGGTCGATTTACTCGACCAAGAATCTTGCTCGGTTAATCGAAAAATTTGATCGATCAATTGCACCACTATTTTTTGGCATAACAAGAAAATGTATTCTAATTTTCATGCAAATCAAATTAATTTGAAAAGATATGAGGAGGTTAAGTTAAAAAGACTGTAGGAATAGTAGTATCTCAGGTATCTCATTTTTTGTATATCTGAAGCCAGAATAATTGTTTTTATTTTGAAAAATCTGTTGCTTTGAGATAAATGAAAAGAATCCAGTCTGATCTTTCACCATTCAATGATTTTATATTCCAGGAGTTTGTTGTGAATTTGTTCTGTTTAAACTATATTATATCCAAGTTTTTGCTTTTTTTTTTTTTTACAAGACTTTACTATTGTTATGCCAAAAAGCAATAATTAAGAGGAATGTATGTTATACAGGTAAAGAAGATGTACATATTAACTGATGAATGAGTTTTTTCATCATAATATTAATAAATGTTATTTATTTATGACCAGTTGTGTTCTAATTGACTTGTTTAATTCCTAGTGAAGGTTATCATGTTATCATACAGTCGGTTTCGCTTGTGTTGAACTTGCTTGAGTTGATTTTCAGTTAAGTTGGTGCTTTTCTCGGGTCCCTGCATCTCTTCTTCTTTACAGGTCCCAACAGTTGAGTTGAACTTCGGATGAGTTGATTTTTTTTTCACTTCCCGAATGACATCAGCTGATCTGCAGTCTACTGCACCAACAGCTTCTGGCTTTTCTTAGATAGTAGTTAAACACTTTATTTTAGACCTATGTCCTCAGTTTCCATGATGTGTCCTCTAAGATTCCTCTACTGAAATAAAAGTGCATATGTAGCTCCGCAAAATTTCTTATGCTTTACTTATTATTATAGATACTGTTTTATCATTTTTAAGAAGCAAACAATTAAGATATATATCTATGTTGTTTGTGACTCTTTATTAGAAACAAAATATTCTGCAGTTTCTCAACAATGTTTTACAAAAAACTTAATGCGGTAAGTAAATTTGGTAAACATGACATCACACTCTTTCTACTACAGTACAGAATCTCTTGTATTTTACTTAAAATGAAAAGGTTTCCTTTCTAGTTTTTGACTAGATATTCTGAAAGAGTAGCTTACATGTTTTATATTTAGTGTTCAAGCAATCACAAACAGTTATTAAAAGAATCAAAGTACTGACGAAATTAAACTTTAAAAACTTTTCTCAGATTGAAAAAAAATTGTATTTTGCTAGAGATCTAGAATGAACATGGAGGGATAAGATATCTATAACAAGTGACTCATTAAATGTAACATATGTAAATAAAAATGAATCACCTTCTTACTTTATCATGCTTTCTAGTGATCTCTATTGTCTTTGCATGTACAAACAAAAGTATAAATCTGGAGTTGCAGAATGGAATTATTTTACATCATTTGAGCTGCTAACTAGGAATAGTAGCTTTTGATATTTAAAAAAAATCAACAGGTTGTGTAAGTGTAGGTTATATAATAAATATTAACTAAGTTCTATTTCAGTGTGGCACATTGTTCATTTTGATCAGGAAGAAGATATGTGATGGTACTTTTTTAAATATTGATTTGGCCATGATAGAACTAAATTAAGAACTTCTTAGCATCAGGGTAAAGAAATCATGATAAGTGAGGACAAACATACCAGTGGTTTTTCTCAAATACGGCTCGCGATATCACTATTTCATTTTCTGGGTGCCCTGACTGTAGTGGCCTTTATTATTCCTACTGAATTAAGTAACGCATGCCCTTCCTCCATTTAACAGAACTGGATAGTGTTCATTATTCTGGAAAACTGGTGTACAAGCCAGTGTGGGTGTAGACATTGAAATTGTTCATATATGGCCAAGTTTTGATGCTTGAAACAGCTAACAGAATTGGAGTCTTGTAATATTTTCCTTTATCTTTTTTACGACCAATACTTTCTAACTTGCTGGGCATGGAAATAAATATGATGCAAAAACAAGCAAATACAAATTTAAATATCCAGACTTCCAGAGGAAGTTCCTCACTCTTTACTGGATATCATATAGATACTGAAATGACAAAGTAAACTTCGTGTTGAGCATACGAAATCTTTAAAAAAAAACAATTTAGCTTAGCTAACTGATAGATTCGGTGCTGTCTATGTGTTAAGGCACTAGTGAATGTGTCAGAGAATCTACAAAATGGTGCACTTTTTCTTGGGTGCTTTAGCTGCTGCTTCAGGACCCGGTCCGCCCGTAGGATTAGGATTAGGAGCACCATCTGCAATGGGTCTTAGGTTATCGCCAGATGGGCCAGGGTTGCTCAGCTTGAGGTTTTCAGGGGGTTTCTCATTGCCCCAGACTATGTCTGAGGGCATGTTCTCAATAGGCACTGGCTTATCGTCTCGCCCAGGTTTGTTGGTCTTGATGTCTTGATCAGTGAAGCCTGTAAAAAAAAGAAATTTATACGGAGAAACTATAGACCTTTTGTGAGACCGTAAGAGTTTATGATTACGAATAGTTGTTTATCCCCAAGGGTCAAACTCTCACGACTTCACAACTGTTCCATTGGCTAGCTAGTCCATTTCAATTTACCGTCTCCGCACCCCCCCCCCCAAAAAAAAAGAAGAAGAAAAGAAAACAACAATAATATAGGAAAATAGAGTATTACTGCCTACTGGGCACTTACCAGGTTTTGATTTGCAGATATAAGGTACAATACTAGCCTGGCCCCCTTTCGATGAAAGGAATGATCGGTACCTTAACATCAAGTGAAAGTCATTGGCCTACTATATTTACACTCTACTGGAATGGAGTAATAAATCTTGAGAGATGCCAAAAAGTAGAAGGTTTAGATATACTCTCAAAACAAAATGCGCCTCGCGAAATATCACTTCGGCACTTCCGTTGTGAAGGACAGCTACACAGATTTGTTTCATTTTTCTCTGGAATAATTACAAAGGCCAATAGGACGGGAGCTTTTTGTCAAATATATTTTCTAAATTCAGGAAATTAATAAATAAAAAATCGGGCTGTGTCATGAGGACCTATCTTGACGAACTTTCACAAATATAATATAAGAGACAACATGCGTAAGTTGGAAGAAATGGATTAAAATAGTACGCCTTTCCTTGCAATGTTGCAATATCCAGCTAAAAAAGGCAAGCATTAAGCACACACAAACATTAAGTTGCAAGCCCTACGCCTTATTAATATATATATATATACTGCAAGTACATAAATATAATACTCTTGAAAGGAGTGTTCTTTCAAACCAGCGTCTGTGGGGTAGTGGTTAGTGTTAGGCGCTTCACCGTCGCATGAAGGAGAACCGAGTCTGATTTCCAATTGGGGAGAACTTTCATCGAATATTTGGTGTCCACTATGTCATCGAAGCTCGAAAAAAGCAATCGGAATCACAATGCATAAATGGTCGCTTTTAAGGACATACAGGCTAACCCAAATTTCGGGGGCTTCCAGAAATCTTGACCTACACTAAAAGTGGGCATTGCCCTACTAAAGGAGAAGTTGGTTCCATTGGTGTGAATATTTGTTTGGTTGTATATATAGAGAAAACGTTCCTAGTCTTTAAAAAGAAACCGAACAAGGAGCAAAAACTTTATTTTCGATTTTCTCAAACAGCTTCTTTCAGGATAGCCCCCTTGTGCTTAAAAGCGAGCAAATGGAACATGTAATTATCACATTATCACCATCATGCTGTGAGACTTACGTTCCTTCCAGAAGCCAAACAGGTAGGGATCTGGCCTGCAAAAAGATAGATGAAAAAGGGGTAGCCTAAGTACACATTTTGTAGTTGTAGGCTGTCTTTCTTGGTAAAAATTATAATAATAACAAGTATGATACAAGTATACTACTACTACTATAATAATAATAATAATAAAGTGACACATGTGTTTCCAAGTTACCAAAATATATAATGGATAACAATCCTAATGGAGGAAATGCAATAATAATAATGATATAATAACAATAGCCTTATTATTATTACTATTAGAATTAAACCGTTCAAAGAAAATGTAATACTTTGTCGTTATCCTCACCATCGACATTTTTTAATTGCGTAAATTCCAAAGCTAGAAATGATACTAGAAACAATGTAAGGGCTTTCGGGCTGTAATAACTGTAGTTGTTGTAGGCCCACTAGCGCCGCCACACTCCTCACTCCCAAGGTGACTGGTTAGGTGCTCTGGTGGGATTTGCTTCTTCTATCCCTTTAAACATCTATTGTCATTATCCCCCCTCCTTCTTTGTTGTGTTTGTTACTCTTTTGTAACACCACTACTTTTGCCCCCCCCCCCCCCAAGGGCAGTGCAACTGACTGAAGTGTCTTTAAGCCTTTTCCAAAGGGGGGATATCAACATGTTCTTATGCACTGTAGAATTGTAAATGGGCTGATTTATCAATGTCATGTTCATACTGTGCCGGAACAACATAGGGAGAACTGCTGCTTTTTCTTTCCTCATCCTTACGATCGTCATTTTTCCTCTACTTCTTTTGTATGTTTGTCACTCTCTTGTGAACTGCTATTTCCTGGGAGCTTTAAATTGATAGTCGATGCAGACTATGTGCTGTTGAGGCTAGAGAGGTGAGGAGAGTAAGCGTAATTCCTCGTTTAGACTTCTTGTTGACATCCACCCGTTGGCGCTCATATGACTTTATGCAGTTGAGAGCTCTGTAAAACCTTACTAAAACTAAATCTAATCTTCGGCACCTATATGACCATATTGTGTTGCAAGTGCCGTAAAACACTTGCTAAAAAGCTCCTCACAGCGATCGGTTTTCCAGGGTCTGGAGGCTGAACCGTCAACTTGAAGAAAGCGCCCAACGATTCACAACGATTTCATAACGCAGACTTCTTTTATAATCTTATAAACAATTTCCAAACCCAAATGTGTAAGCATTTCTTCACTGATCCGTTAATGTGGATTTAGTCCACGTTTTCAAATATAAACAAGATGGAGAGGTCATTGGTCTTTTTGGCTTTTCTCGGCAAATCATTTTTGTCAGTATTAATCCTTTTAGTACTATGTTTATACAGGCAAGATAAAATGTTCACTCAAGATAGATTTAAACAAAGCCACAGAGTATTTCCACTTGTTGAGAATAATATTAAGCAAAACACAAGTTATAGATATATATATACGTCTTCTATCTAGGTCCCCAAATAAATTAAAAACCAGCAGGGTAAAAAATGGCAGAGAACCAGTTTGGGAGAACATTGGCGAGCACGTGTACGTCCACGCAGCAGTATAAGGGGTTAATATTAATAATAAATTACTATGACTTACTCTGGCTCTGGGGGCGGCGGTGGTGGTGGTGGAGGTAATTCCTTCTTGGGTGGGGGTGGAGGAGGAGGTGGTGGCGGTGGTAGCTTGGGGCCTGCCGGAGGTGGAGGGGGTGGCTTCACCACGGGGGGCTTGGGCGGTTTCAATGGCTTGATCTTAGGAAGTTTCGGCCTGTAATGTTCATCAATAGTGTTTCACTTTAATTTTAACAGCTTCAGCTGGCTACCTCAAAATTACAAAGTTCTATCTCTGGCATTTTTAATGATAATAATGATAATAAATAGCATTTGTATAGCGCATATCCCCGCTCAACAGCAGCAGGCTCTATGCGCTTTACACTATATTATTACCCCAGCAGACCATAGAACACTCCGAAACATTTTCAGCTTCCCAGGAAGCATACAGTGAAAACAGCTGATTAAGCGCTCAAACACTAACAAACTGACAAGATCTTTC